GAAAAAGGCAAGGAGCTGGAACGAGCATCCCTAGAGCAGGGCTACTCCACTGATTTTATCCATCATCATCTGACGTGGGCTCATCTTTGCCACTTAGCGGCACCAACCACCTCGGTAGCTGGGAGCTGCCAAAATAGCTGCTCCCCGAGGGCATGGGAGCACGGTGAGAAAAAAAAAGTTAGGATTTCCAGGATTACGGGAGCCACCACACCTCTGGATCCCTGTGGTCTAAGCCCTGCTCTAGGGAGCAGAGGGGCTGGAACCTTTTGCATGGGATTTACCTGCAGCTCCCTCCAGGGACGGAGGGAGTTAAAACAGCGAGAGAGGAGCTTCGGCCCCCTCTCTGGTAACCCAGCCCATTTCACAAGGCATGTATCCACCACAACGGAAAATTCACAAGCAAATCCCAATTTTCAAGGCTCCTTCCCACCAAGAGGGAGAGTAGCGAGCCACCTCCTTTCGCCCGCATGCCAAAAAAGGTCCTTTCGCCAAGGTCTTTGGACACAGCCGTTTTGCCAGGAAGGGTCTAGAAAAACGAAATAAAAACTGGTATTTCACCAACGCTGCCATACGACTCCAGAGGAGGTTCCCCGGAGGAGGAACTGCCCGTGACTGGACCCTGGAGGCGACGGGTCGGTGCGGATGCTGCTGGCGTGGCGTGAGCTCCGCTCTCTGCTGCCCAGCTCACGAGGACTCCCAGGCGGATGTCTCCTGTGATCAACCCCAGCAGCGTTTGCTGCTGAGGAAAGACCCTTTCTGGGGAGCTAACGGGGGCGAGGGCAGGATTCCTTCTCCGTCTCTCATCCATCCTACACACACACCCCGGAATGACTCATGCTAGAAATTCGTGCGTTTTCTGCCACCAGGCAGCAGGCTCGGAGAACGGGAGCGCGTTCAAAGAGGCAGAAGTTAGCTCTCGTACGGCCGCCAAAGCATCTGTTTCTCTAACGGAGCAGTCAAACGCCAGAAGCCTCTTCTGCAAATTCATTGGTACCCACGCTGATTTTCGCCTGGGCTTCTGAACTCTTTGACTCAGATTTCGGGCATCGCTACTGAAGACTGCAGTAAAGCTTCCTTTTCAGCCCAAAATTTACTGAGTGCTCCAGTGTCCAGCCCTAAGATGGCCAAGAAACCGATCCACGTAAGAATCGGGCTTTAAAGGTCCTCCGGTGGGCAGAAGGGACCGACTGACCCTGTGAAGCTCCCTTTGGCATTTCATCCTTAGTTTTAACTGCTAAATTTAAACTGCTTTTAACTGCTCTTTGGGACTAGAGGAGGATCGGTGCATGACACCAAAGCGGCAGGTAAGGGTTTAATGAATTAAAGAAAGCAGATCTTTTCTCAGCTCATGTTGATGCCCTGGATTAATTGTCTTCTGTTTCACATTAAAAAAAAAAACAAACCACTCATTTTTATAACTTTTTTCTAGACCTGCTGGCCAGCAACATCAGGCCATCGGCACACGGACTGCGTCTGCAAGAAGTCTTCTCCCCTTGCTGGCTTTCCCCCAGCAAACTGCACATACCTGATCGAGATAAATACAGTACCTTGCATACCTGCGGGACCAAAATCTTGCCTGGTGAGGAACACGGCGTGGTCGTGGTACTCGGCGTGCTCCGGGTCGGAGCGCTGCTGGGAATGAGCCCAGCGACAGACCTGCTCCAAGCTCCGCGACGGGTTCCCTCGCTCGATCAGGCTGACTGACTGCATAGAGACCGAAAAAAGAGGGGGGGGGGGGGGGGGGGAAGAACGGGTGATCTTAAGAAAAAGGCTTTAAAATTCAGGTCAGAAAGTTTGGATTTTCCCCACGTTTTCTAGCTGCTGAAATTCCCTGCTGGTTTATAGATCCCTCCTGGTAAAAGGGCCGTTTTGCTCCACGCTGCAAGACCCAGAGCTCATGACAAAAAGTCCTTTCTTCAGAAACGCCCCAGGAGCCCGGACACGCTGGAAAGCAAAGAGGATTTAGATTCCTAGCTCCTACTCAGGCTCCTCGGTGAGAGGTTACGAGACGAACTCGCTCTGTGAGCTGCTGACGCTGAACAAGGAGCGGAGCAACGCTCCCCCGTAAAAACCTGGCCCGCGGAGACCGAGACCCGAGCAGAAAATGGGCAGAGGTGCTCCAGGACTGATGGGGAGCAGTCGCCCTGGTTTTCATCTTTTTTTGTCTGACTACACAGCTCCCTGGGATAGCCTTTTTGCAAAAAAAAAAAAAAATACTTGCAATTAAAATATATATATTTATATATATATATTTATATAAATGCACTTGTGATGATTCCCTGAGTCACATGCTTTCCTGGTTAGCAGGTAGCTGCCGAACTGCAGGAGTCATACGAAAGGTAAGAAATATCGCACCTCCTGCGGCCCGGAGACAGGAGTCATGGAGCCCTTCTCCTACAAAGAGCGAGGTAGGAGCCAAAAAAAACCCAACCAACCCGAAGGTTTTGTTCGCCACCTGAGACAGGTGGCACCTTCAACGGTGGCCAGGAACAAAGGCTCAACCAGCGCAAGCTGTGCCCCGCGCTGTCGCCCAGGGCCGCGAGAGGACCCCTCCGGAAGCGTCACAGACCAACAGCGGTTAACGGTAGATGCAAACATCTGCTCCGCGCTTCCACGTCATCCTCCGAACCTAAACAACGACCTAGCTAGGCGAACCAGACCAGCTGCCTCCAAGTGCAGGGATTTGGGAGGATAAATCATCCTAAACAGAGCCCTTAAGTTCTCATCCCTTCAGTTACTGGCCGTAACGCTGCAGCTGAATCCCTTCCCCTCCGTATATCATCCTCCAGACCAGAGCACAAACCCCGCCGGCAAGAGGCCAGACGCTCTACTGGCTTTCTCAGATGGAGACGACGTTTCCGGTCTCCCAGCAGTCTGCCTCCGGCCAGAGAACCGTCACCGGGTCTGCAGCATGCCTCCGCTTTCTGCTGGCCAAGCACATTTACGTAACAATCAGGTGTTTGTCCAAGACCTAACGGGCCTTGTTTATGGACCACACACAGATAATACGGGACTGGGCTCGTTAACGTTCTTGCTACAACGTTTCAGGTAGGACAGGGGCTTGCCACAAAAAGTACACCAAACTGCAGTGTTTTAAAGAAAACCCTTTGCGCTGCCGCACTCAAACCTTTAAAAAAATAATAATAATAATTAAAAAATCCAGGCTGAGAAACCACGTGAAACCTTGGCGCGCTTTTCCTGCCCGCGTCTTCCCCCCGCTGCTGAAGACTAAGACAACAGAGCCTTCTAGGGCTACATCCCCCCGTGTTTTTCCCTATTCCTAACCCCCGCTCAGGTACTCCGCAGAGGGGTGCGAACGAGCGCTCGCGGGACACGGGCGTTGAACCGCCGTACCGCAACGTTACCGCAACCGCCGGCCGGGAGGGCGGCCGGCC